CCATTTTTTAGCAATTTTTTTAGCTCTTCCTGCAGCTTCTGTATTTATAGTGAAATCACCCTATATTTAAGATATTGAGGAGTTATACTAAACAAAATAATTTTTAATCAACGTTTACGTGCAAAAATCAGTTACTACGGCTCGAAATATTTGATTTATTGAATCGTATTCCTCTACAAATTTTTTCAACACCAAATCAACAATAATTTTTTAGAAATGCTGATGAGATATTTAATCAAAACAATAAATTTTAATAGTTTATTGATGTCTCTCAAAAGTTTCTAAATAACAGAAACATTAACATTTAATAAATCGTTATTCTCTTTACAGTAAATAACTGTCGAAACAATATCTATTCGTTACAAATATTCAACATCATTGAAAGGAACTGAAGTGGTAAAATACCCTCTATAGAAAACTTTTTTTTTATTAGATTAAATCTGTACCACAGAAAATATAGCTAGAGAGAAGCTATATTGTCAGCGGTTATTATTAGATATAAAATTTTTATAAAACCACCGCATAAAAATTAGACGCAATTCATCCAAAAAAACATTGCGTTATAAAAATAAATATAGAGTAATTATTTGTGTAACCGGAATAAAATAATAAGTATTAGGTTTATTATTTAATAGCCGGTTCTGTGTGTAACATATAAAAATATAAAATGAAATACGTCAGTGAGGTTGATTACAGAGCGCATAATTTACCAGCAAGAGATCAAAGTGAAATATTTTAATTTTTAGTTGGTGTAGTTTCGTCACAGTATAAAGATAATGAATTTTATAACTGTGGTTTTCCTATACCTTTAAATATTCGCTGTTACTAGCAACAGAAGATTTTAAAGTACATCAACTGGTAATATGTAATTATAATTAAAATATAAATCGAGTACTCATATAAATCATTATTTCATTTCATTTGCATAACGGCAGGTGAAGGGTCAACTATAAAATAACGTTTTCTGGTCTGCTGAGTCTAAAAATTGGAATGGATTTAATAATCAGAAAATATTTTCGTTCTCTTTTTTGTCAAATAAATCATTAAATGTTTTAAATGAAGTAATACTAACACTATGTTACAGCAACCTTAACAATTATAAATTTAGTTAACCATTTCACAATAACTAGCCACGAAGTAGGTTGTATGTATTACATTTTAGTTCTTGCTAACAATTTACTTATATTCTGATATTGAAACCTTAAATTGTTAATGCACAAGGCCTGCTGTCTCCTATCTAGACGAAACTTTTCACTTCTATTTTAGAACTATAATGTTTAACATTTCTACCAAATGATCAAATTGACACCGATCTCCTGCCGATACTAACGGTAAATAGTTTCTGAGCTGTGAGCGGAACCTAAAAGATAATGATTTGTTAAAAAGCAATAAAGCGTGATTTTGTGGCAAATTGAACCAAGATCAGCAGGTAGCATATCTGCATTACGTTCATAATGCAACCGACTGCATTGCCAAAGTATTACAGAGAATAGGTGTAAGGTTCTTCCCTACCGTATGTCATGTGAATGTGGGAACGACGACAATGAGGTCAGTTATTACAAGACAGAAGAAAAATGAAGGGTCTTAATGCTCAATCAACCCAATTTTTTTTAAAATGCATAAAATTTAAAAGTACAAGGCTCCCTCTTTCAAATGCCATTGAGTTTGCTCAAATATCTTTTTTTTTTCGGTGAGATATCAAATTTCTAAGTTTATCAGTTTCTTAATATGCGAAAATCTACTAAGGATCCCTTAGACGTCAAACAGTTGATTGTTGTTCAGAAACTTCATACTCAGAAACCTTCAATACATACGAACTCAAACTCACAAACTCCAAATCCACAAACCCACAAACCCCAAACCCACAATCCCTAAACCCACAAACCCCAATCCCACAAAACCCGAACCTCCAAACTCCAAGCTTACAAACCCCAAGCCCACCAACTCCAAACCCACAAACCGTATGGGTATGAAGTTTCTGAATTGCAATCGCACAGCTTGATGTCTAAGGGATCCTTAGTAGATTTTCACATATTAAGAAACTGAGAAACTTAAAAATTTCAACATGTGATATCTCAACGAAAAAAAAAGATATTTGAGCAAACTCAACGGCATTCGAAGGAGGGAGCCTTGTACTTTTAGATTCAATGTATTGGTTTTTTGAAAAAGAACTAGATGGCATTACTACATAACCTCAAATATGACGAAAAACAGTGTTTTTTTGCACTTTTGGGTTAGAATATCAAAAACCTGACGTGATAGAGCAATTCTGCTGCCAGATTCGGATTCAGCGCACATAAATCCTTCGGAAAAATATATTAAAGTTTCTGCTTCCAAAAAAATGTTAAATTTTGTAGATCTTAAAAATCAATGGTGCGAGAAATACGAAACTTTAATGAAAAAGTAATTGAAAAGTTTATTTCGGAATAAAGCAGAAGAATAGACTCGCACTATAAAAAATAATGTCGAGCACATTTGTCCTATATTTCAATAGTACTTAAAAAAATCTGTTCAATATATTTGATTTTTTTTCAATACTTTGAACCTTAATATTTTCGCCCTCCCTGGTATGGAAGTCAAGAATCGCCACTGATCTGAATTACATGTGGACGTGCAACAATTTATTTTAAACAAATTCCGTGAAACTATTTCTCATATAAAGTTACAAAAAAAGAAGAAATATGTTGCTGTCACAGGTCTCTTACAAATTTTACAAAAAAATTAAATTGAAAGACAAGAGACGATACCAGTAAGAAAATTTTACATTTAAAAAGATAGTTCTCGTTGAGGACGAGGAATAACACTGCCAGTATCTAAAGCATGTCGGAACACCGCAATAAATGACTAATGACTGTCGTCTATCTGGATAATGATTGCTTGAAAAAAACATAATGAAAAATATCTTAAATGGTATGTTGGTGTCGTATATTGAACCAAAAAATTAACGCTACATTATCTGGAATATGGAAGCTATATTATAGTACAGGGTGTTTTACTAAGTTCGGCGAGGTACGATATTAGAGAAAGTATAGGCCCTAGAGCTTCGAGAAAAAAAAAATATTAATAAATCGACCGGAACATCGCAATAAATGACTAATGACTGTGGTCTATCTGGATAATGATTATTGCTTGAAATACACATAATGAAAAATATCTTAAATGGTATCTTGTCGTAGATTGACCCAAAAATTTAACGCTACATTATCTGAAATATGGAAGCTGCATTATAGTACAGGGTGTTTTACTAAGGTCGGCGAGGTACGATATTAGAGAAAGTATAGGCCCTAGAGCTTTGATAAAAAAAAATTGATTAATAAATCGACCAAAAAGGGAAGAGCCGGATAATGCATAACTTTTATTATTGACATTTTGTTCTATTTCTCGACAGAAAAGGTGGGGGAAGTCCCTAATATCTGATTAGAAAAATTCAATTTACGATTTCACCACGAGATAAAGCATGAAAAGACCTTTCCAATGAGGTAGAACACTATAGGTTTTTGATGAGCCAATACTTAAAAAAATGCATTTTTCTGATCAGACATTAGGGGCTTCTCCCACCCTTTGTGTCGAGAGATAGAACAAAATGAAAATAACAAAAGTTATGGGCAATGAATCCGGCTATCCATATTTTTACTATTTTATATACCTGAATAGGAAACATTTCTGAGAAAAATTCAACTCTATGTTTTGGTATGTAGATTGCGCCCCCCAGCGGTCGAGCTACGGACTTGAAAACTATTTCCAGCGATTTCTCTTGGTTGATTTATTGATCAAAATTTTTTTGCGAAGTCCTAGGGCCTATACTTTCCCTAATATCGTATCTCGCCGACCTTAGTGGGACACCCTGTATAATATTTAACTTTAAGATTTACAACATAATTAAGAAATTAAAATTATTACTATTGCGCCACTAAAGTGCATTAATATTCTCATATTTCAGAAAATTAATTATGATAGAAGACGCCGTTTTTCAAGATATCTGTAATTCTTTATTACCGTTTTTTTAAAAAGGTGTATTTTATGCATCTTGTTTAAAAGTTGAAATTTATTTATTGTTAATATTAATAATGAACATAGGTATAGTTACTGACAATAGTTTTCACTGACATCAAAGGTTCAATTTGAAACGGTTAACAAAAAAAATATTATCCAAAGTTATCAAGTAATTACGGTTTCAATTCTTATTGTCCTCCTAATTTATTTCATATTTTGGAGTTTTCTGCAGTTTGCAGGTACATTGTTAATGGCACTACTGAAAAATTATTCCTTTCTTTATCACCATTTAAAACAAATATTTTTGGTGAAAAAATTTCAAAATAGGTCTTAGAAATTTGGAAATGGATTCGTCTTACAGATAGTTATTCCTTTTGGAATTCACGTATTTCAATCAAATATTTTTGATATATAAATTGGTAGCGATATAAAGAGACTTAGAATAGAACAAAAACTTAAAGTTACTAAGTTAGTATTTCCGTTAGCTTCTTTAGACATATACAATCAAGGAAAACCTTTATTAAAAGAAGTATCTAATAACAGTTTTAAAAACGTTGTTACGTAAATCTTTCTACATCACTAACTTCACTATTATAATTTTTAATTAGAAAACAGTTACTTTTCCAACTTAATATTTTCCCCCCAAAAAAACTAAACCTTGATACGTACTTTTACCCATTGTCCATCGGCTTCTCTTGTTCAGGAAAATAATACAATAGAATTATTCATAAATTATTAATTTTTTTGAACTCTCTCAGTGCCGGATCATAGACAGCGCATGATAAAATTCCTCCTATTTCATTAATTTACGCAAAATGAGTACACAATAAATTCATTAAGAGGAGATAACAGGCTTCAATAAGTTTGTTCGAGATACTAAGGAAACTGAACTACCTGCGTCAATGGTCACGAAATAGAGACAGTATACTTATTGTAGACAGAACATTTGCAACAAATAAACTAATCCGGTCCTTAAAGCGGGGTGGTACGATTTCCAAAAAAAGATTTATGGCTGATTATTTGCTTGTTCAGATTTTATCTTGCATTTAGTAGAGTAATTAGGATGCTACACTATTTAAATTCAAAATAGCAAGATTTTGATATTCAGAATATCTATGATTAACAGCCAGTGAAGTTGTGACTTTACTGTGTGAGTGCCTCTTTAATTATGGAAAGAATACAGTGTGGCGACATTACGTGAGTAAATCTTTTTATTTAAAAAATGTACAAGGCAAATGTAAAGGATATTGCAATTTTATGAACTAAATTGATAAAATTAATGTTACATAACAAATTTATTAATCATTTTTTACATTATAAATAAATATAATGTTTTCAATTTAGTAACGCAACTGATCTTTGGTATTAAATATGATTTCATTGATTTCAGTTAGTTATAATAGGTATCCAGATTGGTATCAGCTGGAGATACTTATATTTTATAACTGTTTTCTTAGTGTAGATAATCTTTTTTGCAATAATGGGCTGTTTTAAGCAGTCTTTATAAGAACGGTATATTTGTATAGGGCCTTGATTATAAAAAAGGTTGTAATATGAATATAGTATGTATATTCAAATTTCTATTTAAACATTGTAAGGAAATATTGCTACAGTATATTAAAGATTGTTATATTGTTATTACAGGATTATTAAATTTGGAGAAATAATTGTTTTTCTTTACCTGTTCGTAAACTGATAATTTTGGTTATATTTGTCTAAATTAATTTCTATATCAAGGAGTGATTTCAGTGTTTTTTAAGAAGAAAATGTTTAATGCTTTTATTGTATTGTATTACCCGCTAAAGATCAGAAAACCCTTCTAAGATGAAAGATTTGGATGAAATTTTGTATGTATAAAGTGGCCTTCTACATACACTTGATGAAGATCCAGTTGGCAATCCATGGCCTTCTACGTTTTTAGAAGTGACTTTTTTGGAAAATCGCTGTAGGGATATTTTTATAAAAATTGCTCTTAAAACCCTTATATTTGAAATTTCATTGATTTGTAATGCACAACATTCTTAAAGGAACTTGATTAATTTATGCAGTTTCCATGTAAGTTTAAAATCTAGGTAGCTTTGGAAATTGTGGAATATGAAAAGTTCTAATTACTAACCCTGCTTATTAAGACTGGAAAATTTGTATCCATCAGTTTCAAGAATTGGCTAAATTTTCAACTCCAGGCATTTCCAACACCTTGTACATTTTTAAACTGAAACAAAAATTTAAATTTTAGATTCGTATAGAAGTTATTCTGCTGATTAATACTCGGCCTGATTTTTAATAAAATATTCAAAAATCACTTCTAAAAAAGTTGTAACAGTACATGAATTCTCAATTGGATCATCGTAGATAGTTTAACAAGGATATCAAAAAGGCCACTACGCATAAATAAAAATTCATTCGAATTGTGCATCCAAAATCATTTTAGAAGGAAGTCCTTGTTTTTATTGAGTCACACTGTGTATACCTATATATTTTAAAAAATTAGTAATTATTTATTAATAGGTAGTTAAACAATTAAAATTCTTATGCCTGCCGTTTTTGCTAAACAAATTGTAACAGATCGTTTAGAATTATTTTTGACATTACAGAATCTTTTATTTTTGGAAATGGAAGACGAAAGAAAAAATCGGCATATTGTTTGAAAATTATTATACACCCTTTTCTAAATATATATCTGACGTAAATTATTTTGTAATATGTAGTTTGATAAAACTTTTTTTGGCAAATAAAAAAAATACATTGGATTGTTTATCTCAGTACAAAACCAGTGATAATTTGTTTTATCGTATTCGAAAGTATAACAAAATTAGTAAGTTTTAAAAATAATATAATGATCAATAGATTAATTATGAAATATTACTTGATTTATAATATTTTGTTATCTTGGACTATACCTGATTTTATATTTTGTGTCCTGGATAAATTTTGCTCAATGACCCACATTTATGATGACCCCTTATTTTCACAACCAAATACATTTCAACTGAATTTATCCTTAGGACAGAATTTGATCCTGTATAAAGATTCTTTTATTTAATGTTTATTAAATTAATTATCCTAATAACTGAAATAAAATAAACGTGCGTATTAAATTTCTCAACCTCATTAAGGTTATCATACTCTCTAAGATCACTAGACAATGTAAATCATTCACTACACTACATTTTGTGAGTACAATTTTTCATAAAATTACAATCTATATCAAACGTATTCCTTTTGTAAAAAATGGTCTACGAAGTCAATGACCATTTTATTTGAAAGACCCTGTATACGCTTACTTTTATTAATACATTGGCCGCGCATGCCTTGCTTTGATGTTAAATTACTCACTCTTCACTCTTTGGTATGTAAAAAAAAAGATTATTAAGATAATTTTAATCGATATAATAATTTTTGTTGCGTAAATAGAAATCTAAAAATAGCCCAGCAATTATATACATAAATCCTACATGAGCGTCTATAATCTATAATCGATACTGAAGTGATTTATGTTATGATAATTATGACACCGACAGGAGTTAATAATCTACGTTTGGTTTTTGGCTTTCCCGTTTTTAATCCGTTGATTTTTTATGAAGTGCATATCAACGCCCAAAATATCAAATTTGAAAATGGAAAAGTATTGATGGTTCAGCAGACAAAAGGCGTTGCAAGTAGTAGTTTCAAATATTAATTAAAGTAATTGTTCAAAAAATAATGTCCTGTATCCTGAAATTGACAATTTTAGTTAAATTTGAAATAATTTTTGGAAACACTTTCTTCTCTAAGTCGCAAATGTATGAATGAATCAACTTTTCCTAGGAAGACGGAAGATGCCTATTTTTTAATTTCCATTTAGAAAACAATAGTTTTTTATTACTCAATTCAGTCTTCTAAGTTATGGTCAAAATCGAGTATAATTCTGTTTCACAAGGTTGTTCATAGGAAATTTGGATTTAAGTGATTGTGGTAATTTTGATCTTAGTACATATATCAGAATATAAACATTACATTGTGAGAGCTAGCAAATATTGTTCAAAAAATAATATCAGGTACCTTGAAAATAACAATTTTGGTTAAATGTGAAATTGTTTTTGGAAACAGTTTGTGGTTTGAAATTTCCTAGAAAGACAGAAGATGCATATTTTTTAATTTCATTTTAGAATAGTTCTTTATTACTAAATTCAGTCTTCCAAGTTATGGTCAAAATCGAGTATAATTCTATTTCATAAATTTAGATTAAGGTGAATGTGGCGATTTTGGTCTTGGTACATATAGCAAAATATAAATGTCACATTGTAAGAGCTAGCAAATATCACTTAAAGTAATTGTTCAAATACTGATATCATGTATCCCAAAAATGACAATTTTGGTTAAATTTAGAATAGTTTTTGGAAACAGTTTCTTTGACAAGTGTATGAATGGTACAACTTTTAAGTGGGGAACCTTGCGATTTTCCAGAAACACAGAAGAGGCCTATTTTTAATTTCCCTTTAGAAAACAATAGTTTTTTATTACTCAATTTAGGCTTCTAAGTTGTGAGAATTATTTGAAGAGGACAATATATTCCTAAGTCAACCGCAAAGTGTTTTGGGTTCTACCATTTTATGTCAAATATAGAACAGTATTGTGCGTAACTATTGTCTATCACCAAAAAAAAGCAAAAACCAGAAATATTATTAAATAAATCATGATCTTCTATTTGGATGTTTTTTTTTAATCTTCCATATCATACAATAGCTTATTAAGATCTGCCTTGCGGAAACACAAACACATTCACACATTTCTATACGAGAATTAAAATGTTATGCCATTAAGTTATCTTGTTAGTTTGTCAAAAAAAATAGAGTTTAAAAAACAGTTTTTGTAATTCAATGACTTCCAACTATAAATTTGCAATCTAAATCCGCATTTTGCGAATAGGTACATTTAATTTAGCAACACTTACCAGATAAAAAGACATTTCAAAAATCGCCATTTTAATTTTAAAGACTTGAGACTTGATTACAACAATGCAACACATCGGATTCACTAGTTTTTTGACTACGGTAAGTTTGGTTAAATTGTAGTATATAGCAGCGTTGCGATACTCTTTAGGGCTAATTCCCTCCTCCAACATAATCAAAATAAGGCGAGAAATTTACCTAAAATGCTTTGCACGGCCAATTCATCCTTATTCAGAGATTGGGAGACAAATACAATTTACGTTCCATTATTTTAGAACTATTATAAGATAAGCCGAAGTCCGGAAATTTAGTACAGTACATTTCAGTTCCCTTATCCTGCTTACAGGTAAAATTAGAACAAAACAAGTCAGTGGCGACTGATGTCGCAGAGAAACTCTTATTACAGATTTGGGTAGTCCATTTCTGCAGAATTTAAATTTTTTCAGGCAGCATTCTCGGATATGTCTTAAGAATCATGGCAAAGGTAAGAATATTGTTACCGGCAGAGTGTTGTTAAAAATACCCAGCACAAATTCCACAATTGCTTATTTGAACAAAAGATAGCCAGAAGGATAAATTGAATATTTCCATGTCATGGTAATTGTATTTTATCAGGTATACTTTTTGAATAAATGAAAACATTTGATTCAAAGCAATCCGCACAAAATCAATGGAAAATGATTCCCAGTCGGTTTTGTTGAAATTGCAGTATGTTAGTTTTTGACTTTCTGATCAAAAGTTGTCATGGGCGGCTACAAGTTTTTTCTTCAGTTTGACCTTCAACCGACCTCCAGGTGACCATAGATCGCTAAGCTATCCTCGAATTCAGGTTCAGCGATCCCAAAAGCATTGTATCTACTGGTCAAAATTTATTACATGCCTTTTTGATTCCATTAACTTGAAACTTCGTGAAGCTTACTCAGACCTCCCTCTTTATCTCTGACACTATTCATAGGATCATTTTGGGCCCATGACAATTTTTGATCAGAAAGTAAAAAACTATAACATACTGCAATTTCAGCAAAATCGACTGTGACTCATTTTCCATTGAATGGTAAGATTTGATAAAATTTTAAATGTAGGTAACGATCATGAGGCAACTGCATAGGCCAGAGGACTTTCCAAATTTAGAGATTCTTCCAAAACAAAATAACGAGACCTTTCTCAAAACTTAAAAAAGTGCGAAAAACGTATCAACCAACCCGGAAATTGTTTAGTTGATAAAAAACTATGTTTCATGTCCGTTAAAAATCGTTTTAAGAAAAA